CTTTTTCTTAATTCTCTCCTTGTACGGGCACTTCATTTATTTATTTATTTATTGCTCAATAAAATTAAGTGTTTGGCCTGAGGTAAGTGATCCATCATGAGCAGAGGGCCTGGCCCTAATGATGGCAGTTTTATTCACTCACCCACTATTTCTCTTGCTCTCTGAAACACACACAAACACACACATACTGGTCTGCTCAAAGAGGGGGCATTCAATAGCTGTTATTTTTATTCCTTCTAAAAATGTGCAAATTTTTGCTTTTTATCCAGGTCTGTCATGTGACCGCTGTGAGTTTGGATATTGGAACCTTTCCCACCCAGATGGCTGCATCCCATGTGACTGTGACCCTTTGGGTTCCCTCAGTCCATTTTGTGAGCCCAATGGGGGGCAGTGTGAGTGCAAGCCTGGGGTGGGAGGCCGTCAATGTGACTTATGCGGTAGGGGATTGTATGGTTTAACAATAGAGGGATCCTGTGCCCCCTGCAACTGCTCACTTGATGGGACAGTACCTGGGACAAACTGTGATCCATACACAGGCCAGTGTGTATGTAAGGTATGTATAGTAGAAAATTACAATTTCATTTAAAGTGTTTCATTGCAGCAAAACATTTTGGTTTTAAATGGAAAACTAATACTGATAGATCCTTTCAATTCAGAATGATATGCTTCAACTATTTATTCTCCTTGTAATATTGATGGTTATGTCCCACAGTCAAAATGCAAAGAAATGCCCCTTGTGAAATATGATTTTCACAAGAAATAATAAAGGAGGATTCCTAACAGTAATTTTAACCTGCAGAAACATGTCAATTTACCGAGCACTAGATACATTGGGGTTCTTTTGTATAAGGCCGGGCATACACTGTACAATATTTTCAATTGTGGTACTCAGCTACGGCTCAAATTGTACAATGAAACCGCAGGGTTTAAAAGTTCACAGCTCACGATCTATGATCTTACACAGTACAGTCCAACGCACTGATACCATCCAACTGCTCACACTGTATGGCCAAAACCCACCTTTCATGTGGTCGAAATTGTCAATCCCGAAGAAGAAGAAGAAAAATTCCCCTGTT